CTCTCTCTCTCTCTCTCTCTCTCTCTCTCTCTCTCCCCCTCCAGGTATTTCCGGATGTCCAGCTGTTGTCCAGTTATACAGACATCAGGATCTATCTGGAGGAAGGTCCATTTTTTTGGTCCAGATCAATCCGCCGTCTGAGTCCGAGGTTACCATGATCCAAACGTTGGAGTCCTTTTCGGATCAAATTGGGGTCAGCTAAAGTTGAGGTAAAATGACAAACTCAGTTTCCTATTTATATGTTATCTGTAACAGGAGAGCATCATCTGAATTTGAGTATCATCATGTTTGTTGACCATGAACAGGGAGGCAGCAGTCGTGAGGGATATACTGCAACAGTCAGCATCGGCTGTCCTTAGCGTTGTGGTAAGGTTCTGCACTGAAGCCCCATTCTTAGAATTCTCGTTCTGTGTTTCTCCTTTGTCCTGAAATCTATGTCTAAAATACTCGTTTTGCAGGGGAAAAGGCAACGATAGCCTTCTATAAAGGCAAGTTGATTCATTGCGTTGCTTGCAACAAATCCAGGGTGACTCCATAACGACACAGTGCTGCAATGTAGGGGCTGTGTGCATGTCTGTATTTGCACAACTTCACGGAAAAAGGGGTGACTGTGGCAGACTGTTGAGTCGGACTTTCACTGATTCATCAGGAGGTTGAACCCCAACAGTCTGCCCGGGATGAATTTGATGACTGGAAAAGAACCCACCACCTTGCCAAAATTAGTGACACCCGTGAGAAGAGTGGTTGACTTTACTCACACGAACTGTGACGGGCCTGAGGCAGAGCAGCGAGGTCGGGGAAGAGAGAGGGAGGGAGTGAGAGCACACACACACACTCACTCAACTCGACACGGACTCGACATGACTCGACGGACGCAGACACAAAGTGGCAAAGTCGCAAAGTCTCAATCTTGGTTCCGAACACAATGTCACAGCAAGTCACACTGAAGCACAAGCACTGAGGCCGAAAAACTGAATGCCGGAACTCAGCTTGAGTCCGGTCTTAAGTACAGGACTCAAGTTGACTCCGAGGGCAGAAGTGCAATTTGCCTTGGGGCTGAACTGAATATCAAAGGTCTGATCCTGGGCGCCAGAATGCCGGATGGCGCCAAGTATCGAAATCTGAAAGTGCCAGAGGCGGGATTTGAGAACGGGCGCCAACTGCCGAGGGTGCCAACAGTCAGGAACCGGAGATCAGAGACTCAAAAAAAATAAAATAGCAGCCTGGTGGGTGGTAACCCGCGGACCAGGGATCGAGCCCTGGCTTGAGTCCGTAACACTATCCCCTCCCTCTGGAAGGCAACGTGCCGACTGCCAAAGACCCAATGGACAACTGTGAAGGACGGGACAGGGCCGGTCACTGGTCAGAAAAGGAAAAGGGGAGTAATGCAAGTAGCAGGGTAATCCTATCAGGATTCTACAGGGATGAGGGAATCAATGTTCAAGTAACAGGGTAATCCTATTGAGGTTCTACAGGGGTGATGGAATCAATGCTCAAGTAACAGGGTAATCCTACTAAGGTTCTACAGGGATGAGGGAATCAATGCTCAAGTAACAGGGTAATCCTCCTAAGGTTCTACAGGGATGAGGGAATTAATGCTCAAGTAACAGGGTAATCCTATTGAGGTTCTACAGGTAACAGGGCAGTTGTATTGGTGTTCTACAAGGTTGTAGGTTGTCAGGTTTGAGAAAAAACAAAAAACAAAATGTTTGTTCAATGCTCAAGTGTTCGGGTGTCTGAGGAGGTCTGGGAAAACAACGTCTTAGGTCTGTAACAAAGTGTCAGAGGCAAGAAATGTCTTGAGGAAGGTCTTGGCGGGTGTCGCAGAAGTGGCGGTGAGGAAGCAGTCTTCAGCAATTCTGTGATATAGACGGCGAGGGCTTCAGCTTGATTGTCCCAGTAGCAGGTTGCGTCTGGTACACGATCTGGTGGTGAGATCTGATCCGGATAGCAGGTTGCAAACTGATCTTGATGTCCATGTCAGAGGTGCTGCTCCAGAAGTCTGCGAGTCCAAGGCGCCGGCCAAAGGGAACAGCATGGTGGCCAACCAGCTGTCTTATCTCCGCGAACTGAGCTGCAGCATGCCATCGTCCTCGTGCGCTTGCCATTAGATCCATTATTGTTGGCGATGCGCAGGGGCCACATAGAGAACTTGGACAAGAGAGACAAGGATGTGGCGGAGGACAGATGGGAGAACGGGGCAAGGCAGAGGCAAGAGCGGATCAGGCAGGGGGGGGTTCAAGAGGCAAGGGCTTCATTGTGTAGAGGCTGTCTCTTATACACATCTAGATGTGTATAAGAGACATGTGTAGAGGGGACCTTCCCGGCCGCGAGAGGGGACCTTCCCGGCCGCGAGAGGGGACCTTCCCGGCCGCGAGAGGGGACCTTCCCGGCCAAGAGAGGGGACCTTCCCGGCCAAGAGAGGGGACCTTCCCGGCCGCGAGAGGGGACCTTCCCGGCCGCGAGAGGGGACCTTCCCGGCCAAGAGAGGGGACCTTCCCGGCCAAGAGAGGGGACCTTCCCGGCCGCGAGAGGGGACCTTCCCGGCCGCGAGAGGGGACCTTCCCGGCCAAGAGAGGGGACCTTCCCGGCAGCGAGAGGTATGGCTGGCGCACTCGACCGGAGCGGCAACGCTCTACGACTAAAGTCGTGCCGGATCCTGCGTGACGCGGCCGGGAAGGTCCCCTCTCTTGGCGTGGGCGGCCGGGAAGGGTACCCGCCAAAAGAGGGGACCTTCCCGGCCGCATCACGCAGGATCCGGCACGACTTTAGTCGTAGAGCGTTGCCGCTCCGGTCGAGTGCGCCAGCCATACCTCTCGCGAACCCCTACGACAGGATAGGGCCACACGAGGTACAACTTACCTCCACCTGCGGGAGCTGTCACCATCCCTTAGGTGGGCGTATCCCCGCTGAGCTACTAGTTCACCGTACGAAAGTTTTTACATGCAATCGTAGAGGTGGACCAGTCGAGGGTTTTTACTCGTACGTTGTAGCATAGGGGGTACGCGCGGTTCCACGCCTTTATCAGACCCGTACGCAAGCCGACGCACTGGGGGGCTGAAGTCCGAAGCGCGACTCGTCGTCGGTCGACTAGGACGCATCCTTCTTACCACGCGTTACACCACGCCAGAACAAAAGTCAGATCAATCACACAAAACAAAAACATTCCTAGTCCCTTTGGTATCCAACACATAACCTTCCGATACGGAAATCGGTTAGGTATCACGTGTGTGTCTTAATATAAAACCGCGCGGATGCAAGGCTTTCTCATATCGACTAGCCATGCAAGCGTTCGCAATCAGTCACAATGATGGCATACTATGTAGTACCCATAATTGCGCAGTCCTCGATGGTCTCGCGGGTCGCGTTCGACACTCAAGTGTCGGCTGACACGCGCCTTGAGGGTTAATCTCTTGACGTTAGACAGCCGCCAAGGCGGTTGAGAACCACACCCTCTTCTGCACCCTGTGGAGAGCGGGTGGTACACAGGTTCCGACCTGTGGTGGCAGTCAGCCCTTATTGTCATGGAGACAAGCTCCATCATCCAGAGCCTGAAGGAAAGTCAAAGGGTTTGACTTTGACGGCTGTCACGGACATCAACGTCCAACTATGAAAGTCAACAAGCAAAATCACCCAGTAAATAAATAAGTATCCCAATACCTATATATTAAATCAGAACTCTAGATAGGATAAAGGAAAGGAAAATAAACCCATCAGGTATGCAGATCGTGCGACACATGGTTGTCATTCTCACCGCCTCCAAAGTAAGACTCGTATACCAAGCTTCAAAATATTAACTTGCATAAACACATGCACATACGAAAGCCACATTGCCATGCACCAATGAGGTCAACTTTACTGTTCCCTGTAACTCACACCACGCCTCGCACACGCAAAACCCAACCATTGTCCAACTTTCCATAAAAACCCATCAATTCTTTATAATGGCCATTAAAAGAAATCTGGTAAAAACCTTCAAAGAAACATATCAAATCTTAGGGCTACGGCATGAAGATGAGGTACAAGTGTAAGCAAAGTTGTGTCGTGAGCCGACGAGTCGGCGATCAACCAACCGACCTGTTATCAAAGATAACAGAAGACGATCCTTGTAGGACCGAGATGAACTAGTTATATCTCGTATCAAAAACAACCAAGAAGGACCTGTTACACAACACAGGCCAAATCCCAAATACTTGAACTTTAAGTGTACGAAGAATAAATCCCCATATCACATCTTACTCAAAATCTCGTAAGACTAGTCACACTCGACCCTCTCTCAACAGATTGTGGCTAGCGGACTGTGCGCCCGCAACCACCCCCGCCGCCCACGTTGCATGTTGAACTCCCGCTCCAAGTTTCAAGACAGGCGGATAGAGAAATTTTATCAGTACCCAGGACACGCCGAAACCCGAGCGGGCCCGTCGAAAGGGCGTGCGCTCAAGGTCCTCAACTGCCACGATGGCTACCCATGTCCGACAACGTAGCAATTGAGCCAGGCCCGTGGTGCCCGACGTCGGTCTTTGACCCGATCACCAAGTCAAAGATATCAAAAAATAAAAGTCGAAAATAAATAAATAAATAAATAAATAAATAAATAAATAAATAAATAAATAAAATAATAAAAATAAGTATAAATGCGAGGTAACACAAAAAGTAAGGGGAACAGGGGTTGCACGTCCCGCTGGCCTGCGACGCTGCGTCCCGCTAGGCTACGCATGGTTGCGCCTTGCCGTCGATACCCCGGGTGCGCCGCTTACCCTGTCGAAGACTCAACTCTCACCCAGGAGCGCGCCGTCAACTTCGGTCGAGGCCGCACCGGCATGAACTACAAAAGGCACGCCAAATACCCTTGTAAGGGTATTTGGTACGACAACGGTGCCACCCCCACCTAGTGCTTTGAGATGGATGGGAGTGGGCCATCGAGCGAGAGAGCTTTGACATTGGGGATGTAGCTCAGCCCTCGCACGGGTGGTATTCTCGCTGATATTTTCGCAAGCGTGATTTTTTTTTTTTTCTTGATTGGGTTCGCAGGCAATTGCTCCTTCCAATGCTCAAGCGGTCTAGTTTTTTTTTTAGATTTTCTCTTCTTCTGTGTGTAGGCTAAGCTTCTTCCTTAGGTCACACACCATTTTCCTAAAGCAACAGTCCTATGGCATCATCGGGGCGCGGCGATCTCGTCTTCCCCCTTTGCCCCTACACATTTTCGTGTTCCGCACATTCCATCCATTACCATTGGTGTATGCCCCTTAGTCTTTTCGGGCCTCCATACACATACAAAGGATTACCTCACACTTCGACCACTCAAGACTTCATTCATCTCTCATTCCACACTCAAGGTCCCATACACAAAGGCCCGAATTCATGGG